AGGAGAATATGCAGGTTGAGGGAGAACTTCCCATTCCAACTGGCGCAGTTTTTCAGCAGTGATTCTTGCAGTATGCGGTCGTGCATTATCGTGGTGAAGAATTACGCCCTTCCGATTAATCAGCGCGGTTCTTTTTCTCTTAAAGCTTGGGCTAACCTTTCCAATTGGGCACTATACACTGCACTTGTAATGGTTTGGGTAGATGGTAAAAGTTCATAATGAAGAATTCCTTTAAAATTCCACCAAACACACAACATCACTTTTTTCGCATGCAAGTCAGGTTTTGGCGTGGGCTGCGGAGCCTCATTTTTGTCCAACCATTGAGGCCGCCTTTTCAAATTAACATACTGCACCCATTCTTCATCTCCGGTAACAATTTGCTCTAAAAACTGCAAACGGTTTTGACAAGAGAGGAGCGAACTGCAAATTGTGACTCTTTGATTATGGTTGTTGTCGGTCAACTCATGAGGAACCCATTTTCCAAACTTTTGGACTTTGCCAAGTGCACGCAATTGATTGGAAATTGTTTTTTGTGAACAATTTAAAGTTGTCGCAAGCTCTTGTTGGGTAATTTGAGGATTTTGCACCAAAAGAGCTTGAAGAGCTTCTTGATCAAAATTGGACACACAGCCTCGACCACTCTTGTCATCTAACGAAAAATTTCCCTCACGAAATTTCTCAAACCAACGCTGGCATTTTCTGGTGCTAACTGCATCTTGACCAAGAGCACTACAGATGTTTTTTGCAGCCTCACTTGCTTTTCTTCCTAATTGGAACTCGTAAAGCATGCAGTGCCGAATATGCTCTTCATCCGCCATCTTCTTAGCCCTAGTTTTGCAACAAAAACCAAACCAAACACAAACTTTTTCAAGCAAAACTTGTTAATTGCACTTCACACATTCTGTAGATACCACATGTTTGAAGGTTATGTCAATACAAGTCAACGCCAAGCAAGATTTTAAACGAATGTTAAAAACGACATTAATTATTACTAGACTCGATATTTGATTTTCACCAATATCAATCCTGTGGCTACAAGAAATAAAATACTTTTAGGAATGTTGTAGAAACTCATTGGTTATAAAATTGTAAGTTAAGTTTAGAAATAATGGAGTTAAGATTGTTATTTTTTCTCTATAAGTGCTCAAATACACACAAAAATATTTCTTCTCACATTGCAGTCATTATAGAATTCACCACTTCCATCTGGTTAAGTGTAACAGTCATTTGAGTTCCCAGGAAATGTGCTTCAGTTGGCACTTTATCCCAATCAACCACAGTTGATAGCTTGGTTAATTTTGATGCCACTACAAGCCATGGGTTACTAGCATCCATTTCCCAGTAAGGAGGAGCTCAGCACGGTGCTAAGGCTCAAGGGCATGGCCAGTCTCAAAATCCCTTCTTTAAAGGCCTATTGCCTGAGATCCATCCCACTTCTGGAACCAATTCTGAATCAGGAACTAGAAACAACATAGTGATCTAAACAGTAGAAGACTAATATAAAAAATTATTACTATGTTATAATGAAAGAGTAACTATAAGATGTAACAGGATCCTCTAAGTCTCTAGGTTATGGGGGAATATGTAAAGAGGAAGAACTTGGGCTGGGGGCTCCTTCCACAAGAATGTGCTTCAGATTTCCTTGCAGAAGACACAGCTACAGGGCTGACATTGAAGGCTGAACTTGGAGCTGGGAGGCAATAAATTGCTATCAGGTGCATCTCTTGTGTAGCCATTTTCCAAACCATTTATTCCTTCTTTTATTGGGCCAATTTTATTGAGCACTAATCATGTCTCAGGTACTCTTTTCAGTCTGGAGATAACTCACTGGGCAAGACAAAGCTTCTGCCTTCATGCCATTCTATTAGAGGAGATAATAAACAAATCAAGCAATATCAACGTAAATATCCCTTCAGGCTTATAAATCTGACTACATGATTAAATTAAAAGTGTTCCCTTATGGGGAAGGCAAAGAGATGACAAATATACAATGTATTCTACTTATAGATTCTACAATTCTTTTTTTTTTAATTTCCATGAAACCTGAACTTTTCATTTGATTGGAAGACTTAGATTCACGCCATTCTGTGGAGACATCTGGCAGCTAATCAGAAATGACATATACTCAGTAATAAAAGTCCAGCCCTCCCATCAACAATAAGCATAAGTACATGTACAAAGTTGCAGGGGGAAGCTGAGCAACAGCTAAGATTCTAATTATATCCTCTTCTTAGCCTCTAGAGTTTAGGTATATAGCCTTATGAGTAGCACCTTAACAGACAAATTTCAATAGGAAAAAATATGAATGAGAAGAAAAATATTTTTCCCAAATTCCCATATTCAAGTGAATTTCAGATGAAGAACAAAATTTGTCTTATGCTGAACGTATTGCTTTGGAAATATCCTGAAGGAAAAGCCTTGTTTTAATGAGAAATGTTATTTTAATGCCATTTCTTAATAGAAATGACCTGGAGCTGTACAGAAGCAATTCCACTGGCCTTTCTTTTTCAAGAAATCTACATTCTACCCAAAGCATCTGTAGGCTACAGAATATTATCAGACAACTAATACATTCCAATCAGACTGAATTTATTTATAGACAACGGTCTTTTTGCAATGTTAGATGCCTCATTAACTTGATTCAGCTTGTGCATAGCAAAAATATTCCCTCCCTCTTCAGATTTTTGATAGAGTGAATTATAATTTTTTCTCTCACTCATTATAAACCTTCAGTTTGGAGGAGATTTCAGAAATGTGTAGTACCACTTGTGTGAATCCTGGATTACTTATCCTGGATTAATTATGTTCTTTATTTATTTTCCTTTGGGAGAAATATCAAGAGGTATAGTGACTACCCTTATTTTATATAAAAAATAATAATAATAAGTTAAATTTTAATTTTGTCATAAACCTCCTCCTAAGAAAAATGAAATGTAAATTTTTGTTTGAGTAGATTTTACTATGTCTATTCTTGTCAAGTTAGTGGGGTGTGGGTGGGATAGTTGATTTTTAAAACTTCTGAAACCTTATTAATTTAACTTACTTCATATATATGTTCATCTGAGATCAAAACTAAAGTGATACTGTGAAAAAAACAGTATATATAACTCCCATATTATGTTACACATTGTCAAATTTTGAAATTTCCTTTTGAATATCACTTTGCAACTTTGGGTTGTATGCTCTTTTAATTTGGCTTGCACTTCTATAACTGTAGGGGGGAGGATTTTTCTTTCCAAATCTTTCACTACAACTGTTTCAGATTCTAAACCATATTTAACAGGTTAAATTTGGCTCAGAAGATGATAATTAAAATCCTAACTTCTATATCTCTTAAATCAACATTACATGCTTTCAATGAATTTTCACACAAATAATAATATTTAATGTTTGATGTAAAATGGCCACTAATTATACCAGAAAACAAGTAATTTTTTGTGGAAAATAAGTAATTTTTAAATTGCTCCTGCAATGTTTTGAATCTATTTTATATGATTTTATTAATCTGTTCAATAAACTAGAATATAACACATATAAAATTCCTAATATGTTTTGTTTTCATTGTCTGCCAGGTGATGGAGAACATACTTATTACCTTGTAACTCTGATACTACCACAATTATTTTAATCAAACTTGATCATGTAGCAAAGATAAAGACAGGCAGTATCACTACTAAATTTTAGCACTTAAAAATATGTAGCAGAAATGTGAACACTTCAAGCAACTTTCAGAACTTTGTTTATAGTTAAGGAAAAATGTAGAAACTCTGGAAACCAGACTATTTTTAATCTTTTATTGTGAGTATTCTAAATAAACTTCTGTTCAGAAGAAATGATTGCAAGAAAATCTTTAAATACAAGATCCAAGTGGGTTTTGGAAAATATATTTTAAAAAATGTTTTAAAACATCTCTACCCAGTTTTGTCATGAAAGGCCATGAAATTAACTAGAAAACTTTTCCCCTTCTAGCCCGAAAGTCTCCTGAATCCATACTGGATAAAAATTCTGATTTGATAAAAATTCTGATTCTCAAAAAAGAAGAGGTATTTATTCAAAACAGTGTGACCTGTGTTCATCAGATGGAGCACTTTTCTTTGTAATGGAAAATAGGAATGGAAAATTGAAAGGATTTTCAAGTAAGATGGAGTTCTAAACTTGTAAATGCAGTCTTGGATGCCCAAAGGTATGGAGCATGGTTTAAACATATGTGAATGGCCTGTTGATGAGCTGTATTGTTTAGAATATATAAATGAAAAATTATTTGTAAGCCAATTTTTTGGTCCTAAAGAAATTCTGAATTTACCTGATGATCAGGCTAACTCTTGAGGATACATATGGTAAGCCCAAACTAGTAACCATCCTCTATTCTAATCACAGTTAAAGTCAGCTGTGGGAAGCTGCCACCTTTGAGTGTTTATACTCAGCTTGAGACATGAAACTGACTAATTTCTGGAAGGTTGGGGGCTGTTTTTTCACTTTTCAGTACATTAATGCCACCACAAAAAAAAAAAAAAAAAAAAAAAAAAAAAAAAAAAAAAAGATTAAATGTGCTGGGGTTTCCATGCTGCTTCCTTTCTCTATTTGTTAACTTTTCATGGTATGTGGGCTCATGTTATATCTATTTTTACTTCGCTTCAAATTTTCTCACAGCTTTGCATTGGAAAGACTGCTTTGCTATACTTCTAGCATAGGACATCATTTCTATTATGCTATAGTTTATCACATTATTTTAAAGAGATGAACACCTTAAAAATAAATAGATAAGACACTTAAGCTCACTAAAATGATCATACCTTTCTTGGTATCCCACTCCATTCACTGCCATCTCTCGGAAGGTTACTTGTGATCTTCTTTCTCATTGTCTAAACTTTATTGGATTTATTGGGGTGGCATTGTTTCACAAAACCATATGTGTTTCAAGTGTGCAACTCAACAAAACATCACACTCACACCTAATGAAAGTATTTTAGAGGACAGTTTAGAGCTACCTAGGTTCAAACCCAGTCGTAGGTAGTCCATTGGCCCCCACCCTAGGAGCCAACTCCTCCTCCTGTGACAGAAGCCAGGGAAAGGTACCCACAAAAGAGGAGGCAGATAAGGCTACTCACCATCACCTTCCTCTTCCTCCTCCTCCCCTCCTCCTTCCTCTTCTTCATCTACCTCATTGTTAGCATCCTGCTCCCCATTTTCCTCATTCTCCTCAACAGAAAACATGCCAGGTTATTACCTAGGACAGAGCATCACTGCTGCCCCCATCCCTTGCCCCAAACCCTGCCCAATACCCTTCTACAGCCTCAGACCCTGGAGAGACACTAGGTGACCTTGCCTAGATAGCTCTAAATATAGCCTCTAAAATACTTTAATTAGATATGCACATGATGTTTTGTTGAGTTGCACATTTGAAACGCGTATGGCTTTTTGAAACAATGTCACCCCAATAAATTCAATACAAGTAAATTTAAAAGAATATTATTAGTAGAAAAGTCACAATACAATTATAGACTTTCTTCCTGAATCTTCTAAACTTCAAACTACAGTGTTTTATTTCATTCTCTTAAGTCTCAGTCCCCTAAATTAAGGACACATGTCTTCTAGGATCTTATATATATTTACCGTAAGTTATTGTTCCCTTGAATTTTGAAAAATCTTACTCAAGTTTTAAAGGAGGAAAGGGCTTCATATAATCAACCAACACTCAAGTATGTTAGAAAAAATAAATTATATATATAAATTATATAAAAGATATAACGGATTATATATAAAAAGAAAAACTGATTTTATATATATATATATATAATACGACACTGATTTTATATATATATATATATATATATATATATATATATATATATATATAAATATATGAGAGAGAACAGGAAATCTGGAAAAAATATCTAGAAATTTTCTGTACTATTATTGAAACATTTCTGTAAGTTTATAGTTATTTCAAAATGAAAAAAAATAAATATTTGTAAAATATGCTATCTATAAGTATATAACAAATGATATAACAACTAATGTAGAAAATAAAACTATTATAATAATTATAATATAATAAAAATAAAATACAAAGTAAGACCATAATTGGTAGTTTCCTTCACAAAAAATATTTATTATATTTTATATTCTAGTTTGTTATAAAAGTTGCCATAGAACTAGGAATTGGGTCATTTGTAATAAATCTATATCTTTTTCTGAGTATCTGATTCATGCTATTGTGGAAAACAATTTACCTTTTACTTTTGTCAATTTGAAATGAAATTTCCTTTACCCTTTGTCACTCAGAGATTAACTGACATATTGTCTCAAACACAGTAAATACACTCATGAAGGCAAGACAAAATCCTAAGGGTTTCCTGTTTTATTTTATCTTTTTTTTTTTTTTTTTTTTTAGGAAACGTCATACTGAATGGGTCTCCCATTTGACTAGTGATCCCACTTCTAGGAATATATCCCAAGAAACTAGAGACACAAATCAGAAAGGATATGTGCACCCCTATGTTCGTAGCAGCTCAATTTACAATAGCTAAGATTTGGGGGGGGGGGGGGGGGAAGGAATTCTTATCATTTGCAGCAGCATGGATGGAACTGGAGAGCATTATGCTAAGTGAAATAAACCAGTCAGAGAAAGATAAATATCACATGATCTCACTCATTTGCAGAATATAATGAACAACATAAACTGATGAACAAAAACAGATCCAGTGACAGAGAAGCATTGATCAGACTGTCAAACCTCAGAGGGAAAGTAGGGGAGGGTGGGGGGAAGGGGGAGAGATCAACCAAAGGACTTGTATGCATGAATATAAGCCTAACCAATGGACAGAGACAGCAGGGGGGTGAGGGCACATATGGGAGTGGGGGGGCAATGGGGGAATATGGATACATATATAATACCTTAATCAATAAAAAAATATTTTCATACAAAAAAGCCTAACCAACGGACATAGTCAACAGGAAGGTGAGGGCATAAGTGGAGGGTTGGGGTAGTAATGAGGGGATAAGGACATATACATAATACCTTAATCAATAAAGAAATGTAAAAAATAATAACATAAGACAAAAAAAAAATCCTAAAAGTTTTTACAACAGCTTTATAAAATACAGAATCAGAAAGACTATATTGCAATTGCTTCTTTACATATTATAACCTCCTGAGAGCTTTCTTATCTCACTATGAATACCCATGCCTAGCACATATCTAGTACATAATAGGAACCAAGTAACCATTTCTGAATAAAAATATCAATTCTAGTTTATCTTAATTAAAATAACCTACACATAGTTTTCATTCTGACATTTTTCTGATTTTCAAATTTTTAAATTGGAGAATGTGGAAAGGTGACTAAGACCGTGAGGTTCAATTCAACATCTGCTCTATAGGCATATTTATTATGTAATGTATTCACTTACTAACTAGCTCTGTGGAGTTGTACATGCAGAAGGAATTCTGCATATACCTAATAAATATTTTATCATGTCTTTTCCTATATGTTGAAAGTGAGAAAAAATTTAATAGCTTAAATTTTCACTTTTAAAATACTGCAGGAAATTTTCAATAAAAATAAAATTGTACAATTTTATGAACAGAAAAGAAATGTTCACAAATTTTATTTTCTACTATTTGGAATATGTTGTTCCTGAAAGCAAACAAGGTCAAGCTTATAATTTTCATAAATGTAATTTTGCAAATCTCATAAAAGCTAAACCTTCTTTTACTTGATGTAATGAACAGGTGATGGTGACATGCATAATGCAATTTTCACAAATGAAAGTAAATGTAAGTTCATATTTCTATATTCAAGAAAAATATGAATTAACTCAATAAAGATGAGCAATATTAACCTTAAGGAGTTAATCATCAAAGTGAATGAGGAAAAATAGCATAATTAGCAATATAGGAAAGTAGTCATTAAGGTGAACCAAGACACATAATATAGTTTGCAGTATAATGTAAACAAAAGCCAAAGTTCCCATGACAACACAAACTTTTCTCCAATATACATATACTGTGTTTTGGATAACCAGTTAGAATTTCTTATCCATGTGTGTAGTAGTAATGATATTTCAACATGGATGGATAGATTGATAAAACTAAAACCTCTAAGAAACAATAAAATTTTTATGTTCAGATTCAGATGTCTAAATTTGTAAAGCTTCTTGCTTAATTTTTTATATTTTAACATCCCCTAAAATGATGTTCACTTCAGGTCTATGAAATTACTTTTATCTCATTTGTGGCAATGTTTGTAATTACCTTGATTGTTTAAGCTTGTTTGTTTTAGTATTCACATATTATGTCGTTTGTAAAATTCAGTTTTTAAAACTTTGATGATTAAGTCTTGTGGTGTTAAAATATAAGGCTATAAAAATATTGAGACATCTAATATCCTGTCCTAAATTATTCCACATAGCCATAAAATAGTAGACAACAAAAAAAATGATAGACTTTACTTAGATGGACAGTGGTATTGAGATACTCTTGTTATAAGAAATTACTTCTATAATTCTAGCTCAAATAAATCACTCCATTATAGCTATGTTGTTTTTCTTCAAAAAATAAAACAGGGCTGTTTATTGTTTTCAACTTATTATATACAATTTATTCTGCATTTGCATTTTTAACATAGTACCTAGCAGCACAAGGCTATTTAAATACTTAAATTTACACAGTGCTTTACAATACTCATAAAATGTGGTGAATAGCCGGGACCGGTTTGGCTCAATGGATAGAGCATCGGCTTGGGGACTGAAGGGTCCCGGGGTCGATTCCGGTCAAGGGCATGTACTTTGGTTGCGGGCATATCCCCAGTAGGGGGTGTGCAAGAGGCAGCTGATTGATGACTCTCTCTCATCGATGTTTCTAACTCTCTCTCCCTTCCTCTCTGTACAAAATCAATAAAATATATTTTTTAAAAAATGTGGTGAATAGCCCAGGTGTGAGTTAATGACAGTTACTTGTATTTTGCCATATGGAGGAAGAGACAAGCACCAAGGTAACACAATAATAATGATCTGACAATACAGTACTTGGCATATCAATGTTAAACCCTATGTTATTTATATTGGTGGGGGGAAATCTTGTATTTCATTTCATATTCACATAATCTATTCCTCTAGATATAAATCCTTATTCATTTTTATTAAGAATCAATGATCAAGTGTTTAGAATATTCTGAAGAAATTGAACTTTTCAAGGTTTGAATCTTTAACAGATTTTGCTCATTGTAAAATAAAAAGACGGTAAAAGATATTTTAGTTTTACCAATCTATTCGTCCTCGATTCAAAACTTCTCAAATATTTGTCTTTTCAATTATATTCTAATAGGAACAGAAGGATCAATTTTTAAGTGAAGATTAGTGTGAAGTCTCTAAATTAAACCATTTTGAATTGAAAAGCTCAATGGCAAATCAAGGAGCACCTGATATGTGGGGGAAATATATTCTTATCATTTGAATAGACAGAATAAAAATATAAAAATCTCATCAAACTTTCCAGAAAATATATATTTACATTCTTCTATTACTTAAAATATCTTTACTTAATAAATACATGTGTAAAATGTCAGAGAAGCTAAAAATAAGGATAAAGATTAAAAATTGATCTTCAGCCCTAACTGGTTTGGCTCAGTGGACAGAGTGTCGGCCTGCAGACCCAAAGGTCCCAGGTTCAATTCCGGTCAAGAGCATGTACCTTGGTAGACGGCATGTACCTTGGTTGCGGGTACATCCCCAGTAGGGGGTGTGCAGAAGGCAGCTGATTGATATTTCTCTCTCTCTTGATGTTTCTAACTCTCTCTCCCTCTTCCTTCCTCTCTATAAAAAAAAATCAATACAATATATATTTTTTTAAATTCATCTTCAATTAAAAATTAAACAATAAATAATATGAAGGAGCATAGATGGCATTACTAGTTTAGCACTTCCTAGCACCAAGAGATGTTCTCATTGTGGTATGTGTATAAATGATTTCATTCATGTTGCTATTAAGTGAAAGTACATGTGTCAGGATACACATTTTGAAACAAAGATGTCCAATATCAGAGGAGAGGGGATTATCCCTTTTTAAGATAATGATAAATATTCAAGTTTCCCTCCATGAAGGTAATATTTTTTGCCTAAGTCAACATACTTTACCATTTTTAAACTTTTCTCATCATATTTTTGACAGCATATTTTCCAATTTTGACAGCTCTTTAAAAGTAATTTTAACAGCCGAGAGATTTCTCTT